ATTTTGTGAGGCTCTTAGTCTTTGTTGCAACTACTGAACTCACAAAGCAGCTATATGTAAAGAAATGGCTGTAGCTGTGTGCCAATAAAATTAATTCATGGATACTGAAATGTAAGTTTCATGTAGTTTTCACATGTGACCAAAAACTATTCTTGTTTTTTTCTACCATTAAAAATGTAAAAACCATTCTTAGCTCATGAGCCACAGAAAAATAGGTCCATTTGATTCATTAGGTGTAGTTTGCTGATTCCTGAACAGACTGCTGATACAAACTATGTATAAATGAGAACTTAAACAGAGTTGGCTGGATGCTTTCTGTTTGCTTTTTGAGATCCAGTCTCTGCCTTTCTCTATCCCAGGCTATTCTTCAGTAGGTTCCCTTATCTTCTAGCTGATGGTTAGTGACATATCAAAAGGAGATAAATGGGAGACAGTCCATTCCTGGTGCAGGTGAAAGAGAATCTATTGTTGGTAGTGAACCAATTTTTTGTTGGTAGTGAACAATTATAAATTTATAATAAAACTGTTTTTCATCATCATATACTTATAATTCTAAACAACATCAGTGAGAAAATAGTCCTCCCCATTAGTGCTGCTATTATCACCCTTATTTAGTTCAGTTTGGCTAATGGGACACCCTGGCAGGGGCTTGGGGGTCAGGAGGAGATTGAAATCTTAAGAAGATTCAGGATGCTATGTATGCTACCTTGCTATTTGCACTTTATGACTGAGCAATAATAATATCCAATAATATCAGAAGGGTCTGTGGCTGGTAGAGATGTTGCACGGACCCTTTGATAACCTGTCATTAATAGAATCACAGCTTGTATCCATAAAGTTTTGAAGATAAACCATGCTTTCCTTTGTTGTGTGTAACTTCCCATTTGGAGAACAGTTCTGCATTTGCTCTGTTTGAAACTGAATAACCAACCAACTTTGAGACATCAAATGACGATGTGCCCTGAACTGCCCATTATGAACTGGGTGATACCTGATCCACTGAATCGTAAAATGGGATGTGCAGCAGCAACATCTACTCTGACATGTGAATGGCATATATTGAGACTGGGTCCCAGTAGGTCCAGAAAGCACAAACAAAATATATAAGCAGCCAATTAAGATTTCCATGATACTTGTTCAACTGCTTTCCCTCGGCTCCTTCTGCCTTCCCAGAGAACTCCCTTTACCAGTTAATGTTGGAGAGAAAAGCTCAACTTTGATTTTTAGATAAATCGGCATTGAATGTCAACATCAGCTAGAAGTGAATGACTGCTGCATTAAAGCTTGAAAGGCATCCGTAAAGGGAAATAGTTAGTCCCAATGGGCAGAACTTGGGGCAAACTACATATATGGGCAGCCTATGTATCCATGTTTGGTTGTTTGCAGCCAAACAGCTCTGGCTAATACTTTTGAGTCCTAGGTGCATTTTGGAATAGTCTTGTGTGTGCAAATAGCCTCAGGATCTCACCTTAAGTCCCTTCATTCTTGTCTATTTTATATAGAACCAGTGAGTTAACTTCATACATAAGCCTTCACCCACAAAGTTGTTTGTCACAATGAACCATTAAATAAACTGATAAAAAACAGTAATTGATAACTTCCACCTATCACTAATGTCTGATAAATACCTTATGAGGGAGCATAAGGAAAGCTGACAGGATGCAACCTGACTCCCATCCCTCCAGGAGGGAGATGTATGATATTCCTCAGGTACTCCTGGCTGCCCAAAAACAAAGGAAAGGGGAAAAACAAATAGTTAACTGATAGAGATCAAAGTCCTGCAGGACTTACAGGACCTATGTCTCCATCATTCCTCCATAGTGATGTGGGAAACAAAGGCAGAAGGAAATGGCAGATAGAACTAAATTTCCTTATAACCTGCCGCTCATTGGCAAATACTTGAGGCCAGCAGAGTAAAATGTTTCTCCAGGAATTCCCTACTGTCTTAATGTTAATGCTTTGCTAGAGGGACAAATAACCTTAGCTTGACCATAGCTAGGCCTCCAGTAGTCTGTGAGTCTTCTTTAGCATATGAAAATCTCACTGGAATTTCCCCTGGGCTTTACCTCCCCCAACCCCATAGTATATAACGAGTGTTTCTTCAGGGTCCTGGGCAGCTCTTTCTGTCCATGGGTCCTGTCCCTATGTTTCAATAAAATCACCTTCTTGCACCAAAGACGATTTTAAGAATTCTTTCTTGGTCGGGGCGTCTGGGTGGCTCAGTCGGTTAAACATCCGGCTTTAGCTCAGGTCATGATCTCACAGTTCGCGGGTTCCAGCCCCGCGTCAGTGCTCTGTGCTGACAGCCAGCTCAGAGCTAGGAGCCTGTTTTGGATTCTGTGTCTCTGTCTCTCTCTGACTGTCCCCTGCTTGCTCGCTCTCTCTTTCTCTTTCTCTCTCTCTCTCTCAGAAATAAATTAAAAAAAAAAAAAAGAAAAAAAAGAAGAAGAATTCTTTCTTGGTCATCTGCTCCAGACCTCACAAACCCCACTGTCACTTCCCCAAAAATCCCCTCATCACCTTATATGCTGAATTATCCGAAATTCCTATTAAACATATATATGTAAGATTCTGGTTTTTACTATCCACATCTGGAATGAGTGTCTGGATTAGTAGTATTAGCCAGAGAACAAATGATTCACTCTTCCTAATAATTAAATAAATCTGTTTGCTATTAGTAGTATTTACAATCCACTTTTTAACCTTATAAATTACTAGGCACATCCACATACATACCACCTACACGATCAAACCTGTGTTCAGCAGCAGGAAATACGATATATATTTTGAAATGTGGCTTTTCTTTGTTTCAACTCTCAAAGTCTTATCTATGGTAATAAGGTAAGTTTCACAATAACATTTCCCAGTAAAATTTAATCCACAAATATATACAGACTTTCAGACCAATTCATTGTTTTATTGTTGTATTTTTGAAAACCCATAACCTCATTTTAAGACTATTACATGGTAAGTTTGGAGTGTAGAATGAAAATAGAGGTCCAGTGCATAAACACCTTTAAAGACTGAGATTCTGGGGTGCCTGGATGGCTCAGTCTGTTAAGCGTCTGACTTCGGCTCAGGTCATGTTCTCACAGTTCTTGGGTTCAAGCTCCATGTTGATATGGAAAAATCTGTTATAAAATGGCTGACAAGACTGCTAAGGAAATACCTGTCCCTGATCAAAGGCTCCCCCTTCCGGGTTCTTCTTCCCATCCTGCTTGTCGCATGCATTAATGAGGAATGCGGAAGTAACAGGCTATAAATTACTCTCTATGATGATGCTCTGGGCTCAGACATCTGGAGAATGATCTCTGAGCCCACTGGTGTAAAATAAACCTCCTCCCTTCCAAGATCTCCAAGGACCCTTCCAAGAGTGCTGCTTGGTTCCTCCACCAGTGATCCGGATCAGATTCTGCAAGAGTGTTGGGCTCTGTGCTGACAGCTCAGAGCCTGAAGCCTGCTTGGGATTCTGTGTCTTTCTCTCTCTAACCCTCCCCTGCTTGTGCTCTGTCTCTCTCTCTCAAAAATAAATAAACATTAAATTTTTAAAGGACTAAGATCTCAAATGAAAGTCTCCTTTCTTCTTTTCTTTCTTTTTCTTTTCCCTTCCTTCCTTCCTTCCTTCCTTCCTTCCTTCCTTCCTTCCTTCCTTCCTTTCTCTCTCTCTCTCTCTCTCTCTCTCTCTCTTTCTTTCTTCTTTTTAAATTTTAGAGAGAGAGCAAATGTGGGAGAGGGGCGGTAGGAGAGAGAAAGAAAATCCCAAGCAGGCTTCATGCTCTGGATGGAGTCTGACTGGGACTCAATCCCAAGATCCTAGTATCATGACCTGAGCTGAAATCAGGAGTTGGACGCTCAACCGACTAAACTACCCAGGCACCCCATCAAATGAAAGTCCTCTTTTAACCACACTGATGTTAGTGGCAGACAGAAGTCTATAAAATAGCTGTTTTAATTAAAAACAGCCTGTTGTCAAAGTTTTTTAGGCCTTAACCTGATGATCTGATGTTGTGACATATTGCCTTCAAAACAAACAGAAACCATGTTTAGACTGCTAACACTGTTCATCTTTTCAGATAGAACCTGGCTATATTATTTCTGAAATAACTAAATTGACTAGATATCATAGTTTCTTAATTACTTAATTTTTATTTATTTATTTATTTTTACAAATAAGATAACTCATCATAGTAAAGGAAGAATATTAATTTGGGTTCAGGCTTAGGTACAGCACCAGGCTATATTTAAATAAACAACTAGGATTGATTTCATACTTAAAAAAAAGAAAATTAGGTCAATAGATAACTGTATCCAGCAGAAATGTAAAAAGGTAAATTTTACAGGGTTCTTGAAAGTATGTGGCTAATGATTCTAATTTTTCAAGTGAAAAACCAAGGTGAGATAATGAAAAGTATCTGGATTATGATGGCATAAGGAAAGGAAAGAGAAGAAATGGCTAAATGAAGACAAAACTATGATTTTTAAATATCTGATCAAATAAATAAGATAAACATTTGCATAAAAATAAGAATCTGTATCGTTGCATCACCCTAGATGAGCACAGAGAAAATATTCACATGACTTTTTTATAAAATACTGAGGCTGTAAAATGAAAAGGAAAACGAATTTGGCAGAGCTTACATTGAGCTACTGCCAAGCCTTCAATGTTCCAAAGGTGGCTTAAGTCACTTGATGAACTCAAAACACAGTTGGGTTGTATAGTCCCTAAAATTGTGCTTCTTTATGGTTCTATGTATAAGCTTATATATGTACAAAAGTAGCATATATTATTTATCATGAGTTAATTAGACATAAAATATGCAAGAGAATAGACTCATTGACATTTCCTAGAGATCATAAACACAATTCCAAAACAACTATTAAAGCAGCGATTGGCTAATCTGGGACAATATCAAAACTAAGAAACCCAAAACATACATGGTCTAGCAAAAAGACACTTATAAGTAAGAAATAAAAAGTAAAGAGATATTCATTCTACTCACAGGAAGTCCCTGTTTTCCTGGTAGCCCAACTTTTCCAGAGTTTCCTGAAATGCCATTGGCTCCGTGGTATCCTTGCATGCCTTTTGGCCCAGGTAGGCCTGGAAGACCCTTGGCAATGAAAATTGCATGGATTATAGAGAGATGCTGTACAAATGTTTAAATGACAATTACCTTTGGTAGGGGGATGTTCCCATTTTTAATACCCTGCCCCAGGATAAATTTTCCTATTTCCTGAATTCCTTTGTGGATTCAACAGATCGGGTAACTGTCTTTAAAAGTTCCCTAAGCAGAAATGCCAAGCTAACTAAACTGTACTATGTAAGCTTTTCAGCTTGAGTGTAATTCTCTGATAGTTTTCATTGTACTGGCCCATGCTTTATCCAGCTATGGTGAAAAGTCAGCTATATGTACCTGTCAGCGTAGGAAACAGCTATCATTTACCATCTGCAAAACCCCAAGCCATATTATTTTCTCAAGAAACAAATTACAGTTCTTTTTGTTATCATTTTGAAACAGATGGTTATATGACTGAATAAAGGCCTGAACATTTTTTTTTTCTAGTCTTGGGTAAGTGGATTTTACCTATATGAATCTCTTTTGAATGTGCTTATAATTTATGTTCATTTTCTCTTCTTTTTTGAACCAACACAGGGCACCCAAAGTAGGCATCTAGCCCTTGGCTGGGGAAGACCAGCAGGAACTAAGTCTTTGCTAATAAGCCAGTCAACACATATTTGCCTGCCTAGAGGAAGCTGATGGCTAAGGTAAAATTAATCATTGTTCAGTGATGAAATGATTTAAAACATTTTTTTCTAAGACTTTCTGTTCTATTTGCCAGGGAACTGAGAGGCTGAGTCCTTCAATTGCAATCCAGCTCAGGCTTTTTTTTCCATGCTTGAAAATCTCTGACCTTTGTCACCAATCATTTAGTCATATTCTCAGTTCCCTGTTTTCAGTGGTTCATGATCAGAGAGTAGCACGAACGAGTCCACAGAGAGAGCTCCATAACACCGGAAAACAGCATCCTTCAATTGCAGACTTATATTTATACAGCAAGCTTGGTTTTGAACTAATGGTCATATTTTGTTCCCTCTGTGTTCCAGCTTGAGCTTAAATTATTTTTTGAAGACAAGCTGATTTATCCAACACTTGTCATAATTGGCCCCAAACCTTTCTGCTTGCTGAAGTTGCCAATTCTATTTAGAAAAACAAGAAAGATGAAAAGGGCCTGTTACTTACAGGAATCCCAGGTTTCCCAGAAGGGCCAGGAGTTCCTTTTTTTCCCTTCGGACCCTAAAAATGTAAAGCACAGTTGTAATTAATTGTAATAAACTTAATTAAACTGAAGGTATAGAAAAGAACCCGGAGACCTGGGTGCCACAGCAAGTACTGCCACTAACTAGCTATGTCATTGAGGTTGCCATTTAACTTCCCTGGGAGTCATTTTCTTTATCTGAAAAATGAGAGTTTGACCAGACAATCTATGCATTTCCATCTAGCTCCAAATTCTAGGGTCTAAGAATCTAAATATTGGCTCTAAAAGGGAACAAATATTATTTAATAAATGTCCACATTTTCAGACAGAGCCTTTGTCTTCTTCTTGAAAGTGGCACAGTGCTTTATTAATTCAGTAAACATCTACTGAGTATTATGTATCAGGCACTCTGTGCTCTGCTGGGAATGCAAGGTCAAAGTTACTGATCTCAAGGCACTCATGGTGCAGTAAGGGACATGAACCAAGAGCCTAAAAGGTGCTTATCTGGAAGCATAGACAAGAACATACTTGTGAATCAAAGAAAAGATATTTATTTCCCACGGAACTCTTTGTTTTTCCATGTGTGAGATGTTTTAAATCATAATTGATTCAGCAGTAACTGGTCTGCCAGGATAGTTAGGAATTTTGCCTTTGCAAATCATGCCATTATTCTGATGATATCCTGAAATTATTTTAAAAAGAAAAATGTGGAAAAGAGTGACCTAGTTTGCAAATAAGAAAAAGAAGCATATTGTCATTACCAGATACATTTCTCAGAAGTCATCAAAAGTTGTCACAAACAGGATAATTCCACCAAAATGGGATGTTAAGTTATTCAAATTTGAAAGTAAATTGTGCCAAAGGTTCAACTTGACAACAACAAAGTAAATAATTTCATAACATATTACATCTTCTGAAAATGGACTCAATATTTTATGAAGAAATAGTATATGTCATAATAGAAAAAAAGGGCATTTTCTGTAAGAGATAAAAATCCAACTTTGGTAGAATTTGATAATAGGGAGATATATGGAACAAGGTTTTACCTCCAATTTGGAGAACTATTTGACTTGACTTAAAGTCACTAATGTAAAGTCTTTCTAAGGGTAAGGAAACCAGAAAACAAAATAGGTGATGTTAGTTAAGCTGAAGGAGATGGAATTTCTGGGACATACAGTTTTTAAACTAAAATATATCTTTTAGGACACAATAAGGAAGTAATATAAACCTACAAGATTTTAAATATTGAAAAAATTATGATTTCAGTTATCTCTAATTGCATGAATTAAATAGTATATGAACTGTGATGATATTAAAATATGTTGGCCAGAGTATTGTTTCCTTTATAGTAGTTCTTTTTATGTAAAGCGATAGCTCTGTTCTAGATTTTAGATTTTCAAAATAGACTTTTCCTTAGCTTATGGATTTTAACATAGTCTTCTGAAGCTCATGGGGTAATAATTTTATAAGGATATAGTATTTTGAGAAGAATACATTTTTAAAAACAAAACCTGATTTTTATTTTTTAAAAATTTTTTTCCCAATATTTATTTATTTTTGAGAGAGAAAGAGCATGAGAAGGGGAGAGGCAGAGAGAGAGGGAGGGAGAGAGAGAAACAGAAGCAGGCTCTGTGCTGTCAGGGCAAAGCATGATGGCAGGCTGGAACTCACAAACTCGAGCTGAAGTTGGATGCTCAACTGACTGAGTCACCCAGGTACCCCCAAAAGCCTGAGTTTTAAATATTAAAACTCTATATTTGAGTATCAAAACCAAGGTGACAAAGGTTTCCAGTCACACAATTTATGGCAAAAAGAAATAGTATAAGAGAATTTTTTTTTTTTTTTACTTGAGGGGATATAAATATCTTCAAGTTGGAGAAAGGTAAGAAGAAAAGCAGAAGTGAAGCAAGATTGCTTGACACTGACAGGAATCTCTGAGAAGGGACCTTTACATCTCACTCTGCCCTCAAGTCCAGAGGTGGGGGAAACAATAATACCCTCAGAAAAGCATGGGGATTTGGACACAGAGACAATGGGAGGGAGACTAAAGTCCTCATTTAGAAGTTCACATGAACTGCACTGAGTGTCTGCTGTAGAGTACAAATTTCTACATTGGAATGTCTAGCTGGTGGGCTTAAGAAAGTCTGAGTCCCCCAAGCACACAGTATGGAATGGGGATTAGCAGAATGTATTTCCATGCAGCCAAGAACAGAAGCATATAGCACTTAAGGGCCTGTATAAGGAGACTTTGTACCTTTTCTGTACACAGAAAATGGCTGTACATGCCAGCACGGATTAAAGGGCTTCTGCAGGAAGGGCCAAGGTGGGATGATGGCAAGTGAGGACCTAAATGGATGATGTGCATTTCAGTGTATACAGGTATAAAGAGAGGACTGAGGACCAAACCTGCCTTCCATTCCTCTTCCCCACCACTGCCACCCAGAATGTAACTGTAGACTTGATAAGAGAATGAATAGGAAAACTCTAAATCAAATGCAGCATATTTACACGGATGGAGTTAAAGGCAGTCAATTGACTAGAACGTTCTACCAATTAGGTTCCTACCACCAGTCAGGAAGGGCACTCAGGATGGATGTTAAGTTCCATTATAAAGAATATAAAAAAGTTATTTATTTAGTATACCTGAGTTTATGGCTTAAGGGTCAGACCTACTATGTGTGTAAGTAATGGCTTTACTCCAAACACTTAAATAACAAGATAAAAACAAAGAGATTCACATAACATCACAGACTGATTACATTTTGGAATGACCATTATGTTGGGGATTATTTCAGAAAAGCCAAATGTTGTGTGCTGAAATCTACACGTATGTGCCTGTTATCATGAAAACTAGAATGTTATTCAGACTTGGATGGGTATCAGGAAGCAGCTCTCAATAGAATAACACAAAAGAAAAAGTATGACTACAAAACTTATTTTTGATGTATACTTTGCTGCTTGTAATAGGACAATTGTGGTAAATCTGTTTATTGAAGACAAAAAAGCATTTAACAAATAACAAAACTATAGTCTCTGCTGTTTTGAAATGTTCAAATCAGGAAAGATTTCCTTATTACCTTTATTGTCATCATACTAAAAGGAAGTAGGCCAGCTAGAAAAACCAGTCTTACAGTGGAGATTTTCAATATATAAAGATCAATAAAGTGTAGAAAACTGATACCCTGAAAAAACTGTACATTTAAAAAAATCTCAAAAAGGAAATTTTGGCTTATAACTACATTGTGAATGAGCCAGGTATTACTAAACACTAATCATATGGAGATGTGGTCTCTTATTTCATTAAGAAATTATAGATATGGGTCAAAGACAAAGATAATATGTTGTCATATAAGGTGATGGTGCGTGATTGAGTTGCTATCATAAGAAGGAAAAAAAAGTCAGTCTTCAATTAATACCCAGAATTCCACTATAGTAAAGCAGGAAGTATTCTAATGCTACTTTCAAACTTAACTTACTCATGTTATTTTATTTCAATATTAAGTACCTCATAAGTCAGTAAATAGACTTTCCTGTCTATGATAGGAAAGGCAAATGATTTTTATTTGTAGTCTTTAGAGTGAGCATAAAATTGTGCTTTCTCTTTTGTCTGGCTAGTTCTGAAAAACAGGATGGCCCGTTTGAAATCAGATCCATTTAAAACAGCTTTCCATTCACCGGAATTATATCAGTTCATAAAGAAGGTAGTCTAATTGTTTTGATAATGGACATTTTAAAAATGTGTTATCATAGTCCAAACCCATTTGTTTTTATTTAAATGAAGTTGAAGGACAGTTACCTGAATACTTAGCTACTTCTAACTTTGTTAGAGAGGATGGCTTTACAATACAAACACAGATTTAGAGTTAGGCAATAATTACTCTTTCTCTTCTTTTGTTTTTTCTTTAACCAAGATCTTTCAATTCACTAAAATCTGGAATTTTGTTTTGGAAGAAAAGTAAGATTTTGGCTGGAGTTTTAGTCTTTGAAAGCCATTATAGGACAGTTCACTACATTTAAATTACAAAAGTCTTTTTGAAAATGTAGTGGCTCTGCAATTGGCTTTGATTTGTTCTTTTTCTCTACCATCTCATGCATGAGAACCCAATGAATAAGTTAGATGGTTAAGTAAAGTTCATATTTTACTTAATTTATAAACGATTTCAAAATAATAGCAGGCTTTTGTATATATTGGGAATTAGGAAATAAAGTTTCTAGTGTTGGTTCTGTTAACTAATTCTGTGATCTTAGGTAACTCAATCTGTCTGAGACTTAAAATTTTTCATCTGAAAAATGAGAGGGTGGTCCAGATGATTTTAAAGGGCCATTTTGAAATCTAAAAAACAAATTTAAAGCTTTGCAAAAACAAGATGACAGCCATTGGACAGGATCCACCTGGCCAATGAAGGTGTCCCTAGTGAATAATACATGGTCAGTGATTATTCTTGTAGCAATTATTACTATTTTAAATTCTTTTTTAAAATGTTTGTTTATTTGGAGAGAGAAAGAGAGAGCACAAGCAGGGGAAGAGCAGAGAGAGGGAGACACAGAATCTGAAGCAGACTCCAAGCTCTGAGCTGTCAGCAAAGAGTCTGACACAGGGCTTGAACCCACCTATTGAGAGATCATGACCTGAGCCAACATAAGGTCACTTAACTGATTGAGCTATACAGGTGCTCCATAAATTCTGAGGCTTTTTTTTTTAAACATTTATTTCTTTTTGAGAGGAGAGCTAACGAGAGAGACAGAGAGAGAGAGAGAGACAGTGTGAGAAGGGGAGGGGCATAGAGAGAGGGAGACACAGAATCTGAAGCAGGGTCCAGGCCCTGAGCCTTCAGCACAGAGCCAGATGCAAGGCTTGAACTCACGAACCTGGGATCTTGACCTGAGCTGAAGTCAGGTGCTTAACCGACTGAGCCACCAAGACACCACTAAGAGGTTTTTGATGTAACCTCAAACTGTGTGTCAGCATTGCCCAAAGCAGGAAAGAACTAATTCCCTTGAATTATACAGAATTTCAAAAAAAATTTTTTTAAATGTTTTATTTATTTCTAGGAGAGAGAGAAAAAGACAGCGTGAGCAGGGGAGGGTCAGAGAGAGAGGGAATCACAGACTCTGAAACAGGATCTAGGCTCTGAGCTGGCAGTCAGCACAGAGCCGACGCGGGGCTCGAACCCACGAACTGCGAGATAATGACCTAAGCGAAAGCCGGACGCTTAACCAACTAAGCCACCTATGCACCCCGAATTATACAGAATTAAAACCATGGTTTCTCAGAATCTTTTGGGTCTGATATCCAGGGTAAGTTGACCGCATAGGCCAGATATATAGTTGTTTAGGAAGAATATTTGATTTTCATTGGCATAATTTTAACAGATACTGATAAATACCAAAACATTTCTTCTTCCTGAGGTATGTCAAAAAAGAAAAAAAGACAATACTGAGAATATGAAAGTACTAATTCTAAGAGATGATAAATTTTGGGGTCAAACCTTGGGGGAGCATTTGCATCTTTAGGCACCTAATGCAAGTCACGAGAAGGCAGTAACAGTGTTCTAGGTTCCTCGCTGTTTCCACTACTGTTTCCAATTTGGGTATTAAAATTCTAAGTAAGGAGGTGCCTGGGTGGATCAGATGGCTAAATAATGTCCAACTCTTGGTTTCAGCTCAAGTCATAATCTCATGGTTTGTGAGTTCAAGCCCTGCATCTGACTCCATGCTGACAGCTCAGAGTCTGCTTGGGATTCTCTCTTCTCTCTCTGCCCCTCCCCTACTTGTGCTTGTGTTCACATGCATTCTCTCTTACTCACAATAAATAAACAAACAAACAGACAAACAAACTTAAAAACAAATTCTAAGTGAATGAGAGAGACATTTATCTTCTCTCTGTGTGTTTTGTCTTGTTAAGGCTTGCCTTAGATAGGATATTATTTTTTATTTATTATTTTTTATTTATTAAGGAACCTGCCAAGGAGTTATTAGGTAGACGTCAAGGTTATTCAAAAACAGCTTCAGGTGAGTAAACACCTATGTAATATCAGATTCAACAATTTTATTACTCCTGTAAGTAGGATGCACAAAGTATGGGTGAAGACTGCTGAACAAATTAGGAGAAAATACACTAAATTTTCTTAAGAATTCAATTTAAAATCTATAGTATGTTAAATCAAAATGCCATGAAAAGCAGGATAGCAGTAAACTGATGGTACAAATTACAAAGCGAGTTATAAGGGAACAACCTTCAGTAAGGTTGAGGCAACATCCATGAGTGCACAGGGAAAGAGATGGCTACATTCAACAAGCTAATACATTTTTCGTTTGTTTGATAACAGAGAACTGATTTGTCTTATGGAAAAAAAAATATTTTAGGGGCGCCTGGGTGGCTCAGTCGGTTAAGTGTCCGACTTCGGCTCAGGTCCTGATCTCATGGTTCGTGGGTTCGAGCCCCACATCAGGCTCTGTGCTGACAGCTAGCTCAGAGCCTGGAGCCTGTTTCAGATTATGTGTATTCTTCTCTCTCTGACCCTCTCCTGCTCACGCTGTTTCTCTCTCAGAAATAAATAAAACATTTAAAAAATTTTAAAAATATTTTACACCAATTGTGAGTACATTTCACATAGTCAAACTCTTTCTCCTTCTACCCTGCTACAACCACTAAATAGGTTTGACTGATAGGTTTTCACTTTGCAGTGCTGGTTTTAAGGCCTATTGGTATTTCTGCTTGAAATCCCAAGGAAAGACAAGTAGTTTGGGACAACCTCAGGCAATTTTTACCAGAAGGCTGCTGGTAAAGGGAATTGTGGATGGCAGTCAAACACATGAATTAATCAATAGTCTTAGCACAATTACTGACAAATACTCTGATTAGAGGCCTACAGCTGATCCTTGCTCAGGAAGCAGGAATGATCATTTGAATTATGATAAACAGCAGCTCCCGTGTCCCTGCCCTCTCAAACCAACAATAAGTTTCAAAATGTCTTAAATAATTTCAACTTACTTCAGATCCTCTCTCTCCTTTTAGTCCTTGCTCACCCTGGTCACCTGGCTCACCCTTTAATAGGAAATCAAACAGAAACCACATATAAACAGAGACCAAATAAGATATATTAACATTAATTGTTTTCAATGCCAGAATCACAAAGAATGTTTGCAAAACATACGGGGGGCCCTTGTTGTCCTGTAGCGCCTCTTGGTCCTGGTAAACCCATGTGACCCTAGAAATACAAAAGGTTATATTTTCAGAGTAAATAGATACGTGCAACTTAGAGAATAGGGTAGTATCACTTCAAATGGTAGCAAAATGTTACAAAATTTAATTTAAATATCAAAAATTATGATTCTTTCTCAGAGATATTCCAGAACATAACAGCCACTGGATATTATGACAAATGAGGGCTGTAATGTTTTGTTTTGCTTTGCACATAGGTCAACATAGTAGGCTGAATGGTGATACACCTAAAGATCTCTATGCCCTAATCCCCACAGACTGTGAATATGATCTTTTTTAGAAAAAGGGTCTTTGCAGATATCATCAAGTTCATGCTCTTAAAACGAGATTATTCTGAATGGCCTATGACAAGCACCCTTAGAGGAGATAGACACAAACAACGAAGGAGAGGGCCATGTGAAGATACGGGTAGGAATGGGAACTATGTGGCCCCAAGAAGCACTGTCAGCCACCAGAAGCTAGAAGAAAGGAAGACTTCTCTTCTAGAGGCTGCAGAGGGAGCAAGGTCTGTTAACACCACCATTTCAGGTTTCTGGTATCTGGGAGAGAATAAATTTCTGTTGTTTTAAACCACTCAGTTTACGGTAATTCTGGTCAGGAAACAAATACAGTAAGTAACCAAAGGAATAAAAAGTTTGAGAATAGATTTCCTTTTTCAACCTGTTCCCACTGTAGAAGTGTAGTATGGTCTCCATTTTTACAAACTAAGTTCACACCACTTGGATAGATTTATTGACTTGAAAATTGGGAGTCACTAATGCCGAGACACACCAAGTGACTTTGATATTTAGCAGTCTGTCACCACTCTATTCCTCCTAAGAAGGAATGCTGTCCTACCACATTTCCCTTTTCAAGTGTGTAAACAGAAACTAGCAACAACCCAAGGGCATGTCAGACTATGAAGAATTCTGCCTGCAGTCTTTTATCCCCTTCCTTACTGTCCTTTTCACTTCATATTTCTTTCTTTCCACTCTGTGTATTACAGAAAGAATGTCATAGGAAAGACAGTAGGCTCATCATCTCCTTTTTCTGGAATAGGAGAAGCAAGGATTGCCTATATAGGCTAATGATATTTATCTCACAGAAAGATCATTTGAAGTCCTCTTTGTTTGCATTCTTTCAGGCAAAAGTTTGTGGTTTGAAGATTCAACCTCTTGATTAAAAAAAAAAAAAAAAAAAAGGAATTCTGTTTAAGAGAGTGAACATTGCCCAGAGACAAAGACTGTTTGGAAAGCTTTCTATAGAACATAGCCATAACTAAAGAGAATATCATTACCACACATGGCCTTACCAGAAAACATGAGGAGTGTCAACAATAACAGAATCAGATCAGTCAAGAGGAAGTGTGGCATAAATAAATAGGACTATTATAAGTCATTTATAAAGCAGAATTCAGGAGAGAAGTGACTGGTGAAAGGATGGAGTTACAGAACGTAGTGAGGGTGAACAGGTGAGCAAACTATAAAACTCAAGACCATGATGGCCAATTGCGACATTGCTACCATTTTGTCTGTAGTTTTATAAAGACCTTTTTAGAATGACCACAGAATAGCCAACTGCTTCTCTTGGTTTTGTGAAGTCTGGATACAAATCTCACTAAAGACAAACTTGTTTTTTAGCAGGTTCACTATAATTCCTCTGGTTCTTTCTATTCCAATAAAAATTGAGAAAGACCATTTCTGCACTGGTAAAAATTAAATATGTTGTAGTAAATATTATTATAAAGTTATGTAGACAAGGTTATGGGTAGTGACTTTGCCTGATGATATTAGTAGTGAGATGGGCTAAATGGTTAAAGGTAGTTAGATGGCCAAGGATTTTATAAGGGAAATGATGATAAGCTGAAGTTTGAAGGATGAGTGTTTCAGGCAGTAAAGTAAAAAGAAGACATTCTGGCAGAGTGGATAGCATGGGGGAATAAATGGAGATTCATCTGACAGAACATGTTAAGTGGAGAATGGATAGCCCTCTCAAGAGGGCTATGACTGGGGATAGGGAATCTAGTTAGGAAGCTATTACAATAATTCAGACACAAATGATGAATTCTAAACTAAAGTAGGGCAAAATGGCCAGATTCCAGAGCTATCTAAGGTCAACATAAGTGGCCAATTGAATTTGAGAGATGAGAAGAGAGAGAAAGGAGAGAGGAGTGAAAGAACAAGAGAGATAAAGAGACAGAAAGAAACAGAAGGAGAGAAATAGAGAGAGCAACAGACACATGAAGAGAGCAATAGAGAGAGACAGAGAGAGATACAGAGACAGACAGAAAGAGAGAGAGAAGGACTATTCATTTATTGGCTTGAACATCTTAATGTCTGATAGTAGCATTCACTGAATTTAAGACATAGAAAGAAATGATCAAATTTGGGGGTGATGATGAAACTGGTATAGGACATACTGATTGAAGGTGTCTATGATGATATCCAACAGCAATTTGGAAATGTATGTCTGATGCTAAGCAGTGATGGCCAACTGAGGATTTATTGTTGTTTTATTGTGTGCAAAGACTCTATGGACTTTGCCAAACCAAAGTGAAATGATCTAATCTTGGGAATCTGTATATTTCTGCTCATAGTTTTAAAAAGCAGATCTTGACAGTATAACATTCTTATTCCCACTATGTTCTCTATCTTTCTCAAGATCTGTTATGTATAATGATGCCTAATGAGTATTTATTGATGACAATGAGTAAGACACATGACTTTTGTAATTCTCAGATTCTTCAAGAGGAAAAAAGAACAAATGATAGTGAAAAACATTTTTAAAAATTTCTAATTGTTCATAGCAAAATGGAAGCAAAATCTGCATTATCCATTCAATTTTTTATACCAACGGATAATTGTGAGTTCACTACAATTGTAAGAATATTTGTAAATATAAAAATGTTTTTAAAAAGGTGGGTGATTATTCAGTCACAGAAAGGAATGAAGTACTAAAACATTCTACAACATCAATTATAATATAATACATTATATTAAGTGAAATGAAGCCAGACACAAGAAGCTATATATTGTGCAATTCCATTTATATGAACTATCCAGAATAGATAAATCAATACAGTCAGAAAGCAAAGTAATGGTTGCCAAAAGCTGGGAGAAATACAGACTGACTGTTTAATGGCTATGAGGCTTCCTCTTTGGGGTAATGTAAATGTTCTGGAACTACGCAGCATGTGATGGTTGTACAATATTGGGAATGTACTAAATATCTCTTAATTGTACACTTTAAAGTGGTAAATTTTATATTTTGTGTATGTTAGTACAATTAAAAGAAGGGTTGACAATAACGCTAATCATTAGTTTACTACAGTGCAATGATAGCATTTACAATTTAAAATGATTGAAAATCTCACCTGAGGCTACATCAGAATACTTTAATTCTAAATAAAGCATAGTTCCCCTGTATGAATCAAACTTGTGCTTGGGAAAAACTGGCAGGGGATAAGTGTGGATATTTCATGACTTTCAGATGTCTCAGCAATAAAATTATTGTGGTTGCCTGGCTCAAGATGACTTGTTTAGAATAAAACTATCAACAAATGATAAAATGACATCTAAAAGGACATAGGATAGAATAAGACAGAAAGGATGATATGGATCAAACTAATTCATGAAATATCGACAATGAAAACTTCATCAGGAGTAGGTGTGGAATGAGGGAGGAGGAATAGATTCCACAGTGAGCCTAGGAAGAAGTTCTCTGATGAAGGATTTCTGAATAAGGTGTGACTATTCAGAATAAGACAGGCAGGGTGTTTCTTCTGTTTGCCAGATGAAGAGATTCTTTTCTTCCTCCAAAAGAATATTTACCTTTTTATTTGTCAGTAGATTTGCTAGTTTACCAACCAAATATTTTGTAGTTGGTAGAGGCCAAATGAAGCTATTGCAAGAACAAGATTTTCCTGAGAATGTGTGAATTTATGCACAGAAAAGGCTAAGGAAGTGGTTTTCCAAGATGGTGGAGGAGCATAGAAGTTCTCAGCTTGTCTCTTCCCTGAAATGCAGCTAGGTCAGCACCAAACCATTTGGCACACCTAGGAAATTGATCTGAGGATTAACACAACAATCTGCACAACTTTAGCACAGAACTCGGCAGGTACATAGTGCGTGCAGATTGGGGAACTGGGGGAGAAGAAGCTACAGGGGATAGGAAGCTGTTTTTGTGGAGAGAGGACAGAGGACAAAGAAAGGAACAGTGGGGGAGTGCAGCACATCGGATCATTCTCTGGAAAATCATTCCTGCCAAAAGCAGCTGGAGAGAAAGAGTGGAAACACTGACAAGGGACTGAACAAGAAATCTGTTCCTCAAAACCACTGATGGGGAGAAAGGAGAGGGTTATGACACCATTAGGATTCTATGAACAGTGGTGCACAGAGTTGGAAATTCCAGAGCTCAATATCTGGTAGTGCTCTGGTATTGAGTAAATCCCCAGGGTCAGGCAGTGAGGTTGGGGGGTGGGGGGTGTCTGTGGGCCACAAGGGGAGAAGTGGTTCCCCTGCTTGGAGTGCATTTGGTAGAGGCCATACGGCCTCCCCACAGGCAAATGTCCCAGTGGACTCTGGAGAGCAGCCACGTTTGCTGGTGTTGGGACAAAGGTGCCAGAGTGTGGTGAAACCTGGCTCAGCTGTGTGTTGTGATTTGCCGTAATCTCTGAACCTCTGCAGCTGCGTGACCTCATGAATGTATTCTGGGGCAAGCTGGCCATTGCTCAGTGAGACTCTGCCCCAGGAGCTGATTCTCTGAAACAATTAACAAAACTGATGAAGCCCTAGCCAGTTTGATCAAAAAGAAAAAAGAAAGGACCCAAATAAATAAAACCACAAATGAAAGGGGAGAGATCACAACCAACACTGCAGAAATACAAACAATAATAAGAGAATATTATGAGCAATTATATGCCAATAAATTGGGCAATTTGGAAGACATAGATAAATTCCTAGAAACATATAAACTACCAAAACTGAAACAGGAAAAAAATAGAAAACTTGAACAGACTTATAACCAGTAAAGAAATCAAATTAGTAATCAAATATCTCCCAAAAAACAAGAGTCCAGGGCTGAATGGCTTTCCAGAGGAATTCTACCAAACATTTAAAGAAGAGTTAATACCTATTCTTTTGAAGATGTTCCAAAAAAATAGAAATGGAAGGAAAACTTCCAAACTCATTCTATGAGGCCAGTATTACCTAGATTCCAAAGTGAAGAACCCTAATAAAAAGGGGTACTACAGACCAATTTCCCTCATGAACACTGGATGCAAAAATTCTCAATAAAGATATTAGCCAACTGGATCCAACAATACATTAATAGAATTATTCACCACAATCAATTGGGATTTATTCCTGGGATGCAGGGATGGTTCAATATCCACAAATCAATCAATGTGATACATCACATTAATAAAAGAAAGAATAAGAACCACATGATCCTCTCAATAGATTTAGAGAAATCATTTGACAACATACAGCATCCTTTCTTGATAAAAGCTCTCAAGAAAGTGGATATAGAAGGATCATACTTCAAGATCATAAAAGTCATATATGAAAGACCCACCATTAACGCCATCCTCAATGGGGAAAAACTGAGAGATTTCCCCCTAAGGTCAGGAACACAACAAGGAAGTCCATTCTCACCACTGTTTTCTGACATAGTGTTAGAAGTCCTAGCCTTAGCAATCAGACAACACAAATAAATAAAAGGCATCCAAATTGGCAAGGAGGAAATAAAATTGTCATTCTTCATAGATGACATGATACTGATTGTGGAAAACCTAAAAGAATCCACCCCAAAACTTCTAGAACTGATCCATGAATTCAGCAAAGTTGCAGGATATAAAATTAATGTACAGAAATTGGCTGCATCTCTGTACATCAATAATAAAGGAGCAGAAAGAGAAGTCAAGGAATTGATCTCATTTATAATTGCACCCAAACCATAAAATTTGTAGGAATAAACCTAACCACAGATTGAAAAGTCTATACATTGAAAACTATAGAAAGCTTATGAAAGAAACTGAAGATACAAAGAAATGGAAAAATAGCCCATGCTCATGGATTGGAAGAACAAATATTGTTAAAATGTCAATATTACCCAAGGCAATCTACAATATTCAGTGCAATCCCTATCAAAATAACACCAGCATTCTTCGCAGAGCTAGAACAAACAGTCCTAAACTTTGTATGGAACTATAAAAGACCGAAAATAGCCAAAGCAATCCTAAAAAAGAAAACCAACACTGGAGGCATCACAATTCCGGACTTCAAGCTGTATTACAAAACTGTAATCATCAAGACAGTATGATACTGGCACAAAGACAGACACATAGATCAATGGAACAGAATAGAGAGCCCAGAAATGGACCCACAAACATATGGCAAATCTATGACAAAGCAGGAAAGACTATCTAATGGAAAAAGGACAGTGTCTTGAGCAAATGGAATTGGGAAAACTGGACAATGGCACATAGAATAATCCTGGACAACTTTCTTACACCATACACAAAAATAAACTCAAAATGAATGAAAGACCTAAACGTAAAACAGTAAGCCATCAAAATCCTAGAGGAGAAAGCAGGCAACAACCTCTTTGACCTCAGCCCCAGCAACTTCTTACTTAACACATCTCCAGAGGCAAGGGAAACAAAAGCAGCAATAGACTATAGGGACGTCATCAAGATAAAAAGTTTCTGCACTGCAAAGGAAACCATCAACAAAACTAAAAGGCAACCAATGGAATGGGAAAAGATATTTGCAAATGATATATCAGATAAAGGGTTAGTATCCAAACTTTATAAAGAACTTACCAAACTCAACACTTAAAAAACAAATAATCCAGGGAAGAAATGGGAAGAGTAAATGAATAGACACTTTTCCAAAGAAGACATCCAGATGGCCAACAGGCATATGAAAAGATGCTCACCATCACTCATCATCAGGGAAATACAAATCAAAACCACATTACACCAGGCAGAGTGGCTGAAATTAACAACTCAGAAAACAACAGATGCTGGTGAGGATGTGGAGAAATGGGAACCCTCTTGCACTGTTGGTGGGAATACAAACTGGTGCAGCTGCTCTGGAAAACAGTTCAGAGGTTCCTCAAAAAATTAAAAATAGTACTACCCTACGACCCAGCAATAGAACTACTAGGAATTTATCCAAAGGACACAGGAGGGCTGTTTTGAAGGGGCACAAGCATACCAGTGTTTATAGCAGCGCTATCAACATTATCAACAATAGCCAAAGTATGGAAAGAGTCTAAATATACATCGGCTGATGAATGGATAAAGAAAATGTGGTATATTTAAACGATGGAATATTACTCAGCAATCAAAAAGAATGAAATCTTGCCATTTGCAACAATGTGGATGGAACTAGAACATATTATGCTAAGTGAAATTAGCCAGTCAGAGAAAGATTGGGTGAGGGGCATTAAGAAGGACACCTGCTGGGATGAGCACTGGGTGTTATATGTAGGTGATGAATCACTGGATTCTACTCCTGAAATCATTATTGCACTATATGTTAACTAACTTGGGTGTAAATTTAAAAAAAATTAATAAATGAAAAAAATGAAAAAAAGCCTATTGGAATGAGATAAAAAAAGAGTCATGCTGTTTTTCAAGAAAAAAAAAAAGCTAAGGAAGTTTAAGATGCTTTTCAAATTATTCTGGAGGCAGTGGGTTGTCCTCTCAACCCAAAAAGAACTTAATTTCAAGTAAATTCACTGGATTCCTTGGATTAAGAAACACTTACAGATACAAATGACTTCTATAAATAATAAATATTATAGGACTGTGAAATACAGAAAGATTGCTGTTAGGGTGAGCTTGGAAAAAGGGAGTCTGAACTAAATTATAAAGGAAAGATAGGATTTATGTAAATAAAGATTAGATAATACTGTGAGTAGGCAGAGAATGTTGTGAGAAAAGGAATGACAGCAACTGTAGGGAGAGAGTTAGCAGATGACTATTTTGTTTAACAAATGACACTATAAACAGGGAGGGAAGAGAGATAAGACAGGAATACAGAACTTCCTAAACATAAATATGCTAATAAAAATGACACAGAATATTCTACACGTAATCTAATATAATTTTGGCTGATAAAGTTGGTCTCATAAAATCCTTCTAAGAATGGAAGAGGACAAAACTGACAGAAGGCTTGAGAACATAATGACATTCATACACCTATTTGGCAACTCTATTGAACTCCTACTATACATCAGGAACATTATATTCTAGAAATTGGGGATGTAATGATGAAAAGCCAGATAAGAGTCTTATTTTCATGGATCTTACTTTTTGGTAGGAAAGACAAGACAATAAACAACAACAAAAAACCCCAAATATATATAAAAGAGTGATAAGATAATATAGATGGCATTAAATGTCATGAAGGAAATCTAATAAGATCGAAAGTGATGGATAGAAAGAGAACGTCTCCCAAAGTAACATTTCGGCTGAGATCTGATGATGAGAAAAAAAGCAACAATGGGAGGAGGTGAAGATGAGTCCAGAAAAAAGAAACAGAAAGTACAAAGAGCTAGGCTTCTTCTCGGATCAAAACTGTAAGATATTACTAATAACTCAATGATATTTATTTTCATTTGAACCTGAGCGAAACCACAGAGAACACTGATTCAATTTAGAAGCAAGGGGTGAAACTTGCTGTAATTACCTTATAGCCCTCTGCTCCAGGCTCTCCTCTCTCTCCTTGTTCCCCCACAGGACCCTACAGAAACCACATGCAAAAACAATCAGTTTCACAGCTGGATCTAAGTATTTGTGAATGCAGATAATACAGTTAGTGTGGAATATTTTTTTCCAGAATTGTGAAACCAAATGTACAATTATTTGTTTAGTTCCACTAAACAATTTCAAAAGATTGAATGTCAATAACACTAAGAACATCGTAAGCATTGAATTATTTAAAGAGAATCTCATAATGATCCTGCTAGGAAAAATACTGAAGAAATGAAGTCCACTTAAACAAGATGAATTTTCAGATGGATAAAGTATGTGACATGTGATGTCAAATTAACTTGCATTTTTACTTAATGATAAAATGATAGAAAAAGATTTAATCCGGATCCTTCAGCCATGTACTTAATTCCATTAATTAGAAGATTATATTTAATAATCTTTTTATGTATTTTTATATTTTGAAGTACAGTCAGCATACAATGTTGTAATAGTTTCAGGCATACAACATACTGGTTCAACATTTATACACATTATGACACGATCACAGAATAAGTCTGGTCACCATCTGTCACTATATGTAGTTATTATGATATTATTGACTATATTCACTATGCTGTACTTTACATCCCATGACTTACATATTTTATAACTGAAAGTCTATAACTCTTAATCCCCTTTACCTATTTCACCCACCCCCTTACACCCTCTCCTCTGGCAATCACCAGTTTCTTCTGTGTATTTGATGAGTCTGTTTCTGTTTTGTTGTTTTGTTTTTAGGACTCCATATAGAAGTAAAATCACACACAATTTATCTTTCTCTGTTTAACTTATTTCATATAATATAATGCCCTCTACGTTCATTTATATTGTCACAAATGATAAGATTTCACTCTTTTTTATGGCTGAGTAATATTACATTTTGTGTATGTGTATGTATATACATACATATACATCTTTTTCATCCATTTGTCTATCAGTGAACACTTAGGTTGTTTCCATATCATGGCTACTGTAAATAATGCTGCAATGAACATATAGGTATGTGTATCTTTTCATATTATGTTTTTCGTTTTTTCTTTTCAGATAAATACCCAGATGTCAAATAGCTGGATCATGTGGTATTTCTATTTTTAATTTTTTGAGTAATCTTCATACTGGTTTACATAGTGGCTGCACCAATATACATTCCATCAACAGTGCATGATGGTTCCTTTCACCAATATTTGTTATTTCTTGTTCTTTTTTGATACCATTCATTCTGACAGGTATGAGGTGAAATCTCACTGCCATTTTGATTTGCATTTCCCTGATTAGTGATATTAAGCATATTTTCATATGTGTATTGGTCTTCTATATGTATTCTTTGGAAAAATGCCTATTCAGGTCCCCTGCCCATTTTAAAAATCAGATTGTTTTATTGGTGTTGAGTTGTAGGAGTTCTTTATATATTTTGGATATTAATCCCTTACTGGATATAACATTTGCAAATATCTTCTCCCATATAAAAGATTGCTTTTTTGTTTTGTTGATGATTTCCTTTACTGTAAAAAAACTTTTTAGTTTGATGTCCCAATTGTTTATTTTTGCTTTTATTGCCTTTGACTGAGGAGACACATACCAAAAAATATTGCTAAGACTGATGTGCAAGAGTTTATACCTGTTTTCTTTTGGGAGTTCTAATATTTCAGGTCTTACATTTAAGTCTCTAATTCACTTTGAGCTTATTCTTGCATGTAATGGAAAAAAGTGGTTCAGTTTCATTCTTTCACATGTAGCTATCCAGTTTTCCCAACATCATTTATTGAAAAGATTATCTTTTCTCCATTGTATATTAATTGATCATAATAATTAAAAACACACATATTAATTGTGTGTTTATTTCTGGGCTCTCTATTCTGTTCCATCGACCTATGTATATATTTTTGTTCCAGTACCAAACTGTTTTGATAACCATAGCTTTGTAGTGCAGTTTGAAATCAAGCAGTGTAATGCCTGCAGCTTTGTTCTTCTTTCTCAAGAGTGACTTGGCTATTCAGGGTCTTTTGTTGTTCTATACAAATTTCAGATCATTTGTTCTAGTACTGAGAAAAACACTATTGGCATTTTGATAGGAACTGTACTGAATATAGAGACTGCTTTGGAGAGTATAGGCACCTTAACAATATTATTCTTCCAATTCACAAACACAGTGTATCTTTCTATTTATTTTTGTCATCTTCAGTTCTTTCATTAATGTCTTACAGTTTTCAGAATACAGGTCTTCTGCTTCCTTGGTTAAATTTATTCCTAGATATTTTATTATTTTTGATTCAATTTTAAATAGGATTGTTTCTTAATTTCTCTTTCTGATTGTTTTTATTGTATAGAAATGCAGATTTCTGCATATTAATTTTGTATCCTGAGACTTTACTCAATTAATTTAGTAGTTGAAATAGTTTTTTTGGTAAAGTCTTTCTTTTCTATTTATATTATAATGTCATCTACAAATGTTGACGTTTTACTTCTATCTTACCATTATGGATGTCTTTCCTTTCTTTTTCTTCTCTGATTGCTATGGATGACATTTCCAGTACTATGTTGAATAAAAGTGGTGAGAGTGGGCGTCTTTCTGTTGTTCCTGATCTTGGAGGAAAAGCTTTCAGTTTCCCACCATTGAGTATGTTAGTTATGGGTTTGTCATATATGTTTGTTCTTATGTTGAGGTATTTATTGAGATTTTTTTACCATAAGTGCACATTGAATTTTGTCAAATGCTTTTTCCACATTATTGAGAAGATCATGATTTTTATCCTTCATTTTGTTAATGTGGTGTATCAAGTTAATTGATTGCAAATACTGAGCCATCCTTGCATCCCTGGAATAAATCTCACTTTATTGTGGAATATGATTCTTTTAGTGTATTGCTGAATTTTGTTTGCTAATATTTTGTTGAGAAATTTTGCATCTATGTTTTTTCAGGGATATTGGCCTATAATTTTCTTTTTTTGTACTGTCTTTTCTAATTTTGGTATCAGGATAATACTAGCCTCATAGAATGAACTTGAAAGCATTCCTTCCTCTAAATTTTCTTGAATAAATTTGAGAAGGATAAGTGTTAACACTTCTTTAATGTTTGGTAGAATTCATCTGTGAAGCCAACTGGTCCCTGAGTTTGGTTTATTGGGAGGTTTTTTTGTTTTTGTTTTTGTTTCTTAAATTACTGATTCATTTTAAATACCAGTAATCAGTCTGTTCAGATTTCTATTTCTTCCTGATTCAGATTTGGAAGATTATAAACATTTAGGAATTTATTTGTTTTTTTCTAGGTGGTCCAATTTATTGGCAACTTGCCTGTTTGTAGATTTGGGGATGCTGTGTTTTTATTTTCATTTGTCTTCAAGTGTTTTTAATTTCCTCTTTAGTTTCTTAATTGATCCCCTGTTTGGTTAGTAGCTGTTGCTTAGCTTCCATGTGTTCGTGTTTTTCCCCATATTTTTCTTTGTATTTATTTCTAGTTTCATGTCATTGTGATCACAAAAGATGCTTGGTATGATTTCAATATTCTTAAATTTATTAAACATGTTTGTGGTCTAATATGTGATTTATCCTAGATAAATCCTAGATAATGTTCTGTGTGCACTTGAGAAGAATACATATTCTTTTTTTTTTGAATGGAATGTTCTGTAAATACCGATTAGGTCCCTCTGGTCTAATATGTTGTTTAAGGCTACTATTTCTTTATCGACTTTCTGTCTGGATAATCCATCTATAGAGGTAAGCGGAGTGTTATAGTGTCCTATTATTATTGTATTACTATCAATTTCTTCCTTATGGCTGTTAATATCTGCTTTATAAATTTAGGTGTTTTAAGTTGGGTTCATAGATACTTATAATTGTTATATCCTCCTGTTGAATTGATCCCTTTACCATCATGTAATGCCCATCCTTTTGTCTTGTTACAGTGTTTATTTTAAAGTCTATTTTATCTGATATGAGTATGACACTCCCATTTTTTTTCATTTCCACTTTAATGGAATACTTTTTTCCATCCTTTCAGACTGTGTGTGTCTTTAGGTCTGAAGTGAATCTCTTGTAGGCAGCATACAGATGGGTCTTATTATTTTTTAAAAATATTTTTAACATTTTATTTTTGAGAGAGGGAGAAAGTGGGGGGGAGGCAGAGAGAGTCACACATACAGAATCTGAAGCAGGCTTCAGGCTCTGAGCTGTCAGCACAGAGCCCAACGTAGGGCTCAAACTCATGATCAGTGAGATCATGACCTGAGTTGAAGTCGGACTCTTAACTGACTGAGCCACCAGGCACCCCTAGATGAGTCTTATTTTCCTTATCCATTCAGTCACCCTATGTATTTTGATTGGAGCATCTAATCCATTTATATTTAAAGTAACAATTGGTAGGTATGTACTTAGTGCCATTTTGTTAACGGTTTTCTGGTTGTATATATAGTTCTTCTTTGTTCTTCTCTTGCTCTCTTCCTTTGTGATTTGATGATTTTCTTTTGTGTCACATTTGGATTCCTTTCACTTCATTTTTTTGTGAATCTATTATAGGTTTTGATTTGAGGTTTCTATGAGTTTCATATATAACACCCTGTGTACATAGCAGTCTATTTTAAGTTGATAGTCACTTAAGTTCAAACACATTCTAAAAGCCCTACATTTTTATCCCCCCCCATTTATGTATTTGGTGCCATAATTTTCATCTTTTTATTTTGTGTACCCCTTAGCTAATTATTGTACATATAGTTGTTTTTACTATTTTTGTTCTTTAACCTTTATACCAGCTTTATAAGTAGTTGATTCATTCTCTTTACTATATGTTTGCTTTTACCAATGAGGCTTTTTCTTTCACAATATTTTTTATACCTCTATTTATGGTGTTTTCTTTTCCACTTTAAGAAGTCTCTTTAACCTTTCTTGTAAGTCCAGTTTAGTGGTGATAAATTCTTTAAACTTTCATTTGTCTGGGAAACTATCTCCTTAATTCTGAATGACAATCTTTCAGGAAGTGTATTTTTGGTTGTAGGCTTTTTCTTTCAGCACTTTGAGTATGTCAAGACACTACTTTCTGGCCTACAAAATTTCTGAAAAATCAGCTGATGATCTTATGGATGTTACCTTTTAAGTTACCGGTTGCTTTACTCTTGCTGTTTTTAAGATTCTCTCTTTACCTTTAATTTTTGATAACTTAATTTCTTTGGGTGTGGACCTCTTGGGTTCATCTTATTTGGAGCTCTCTGTGCATCCAGCAGCTGGATGTTTGTTTCTTTCCTCAGGTTAGGGAAGTTTTCATTTATTATTTCTTCTTTTTGTCTTGTTACACTCTTGGCTTTAAAGTCTATTTTATAAGACTTCTGTTGATATTTATTGCCCACTAGGTTCCTTAAACTATCCTTTTTTTCTTAACACTATTCAGTTTGGATGACTTCCACCACCTTGCCTTCTAGATTGCTGACCTATCTGTATCCTTTCATCTGTCATTGTTCCCTCTCGTGTATATTTTTTCATCTCAATTATTGAATTCTTAAGTTATGATTAGTTCTTTATATTTTCTATCTCTTTGTTGAAGTTCTCATTGTTCAGCTACTCTTCTTATGAGTTCCATGAACATCTTTATGACCATTATTTGAATTCTTTATCAGGCAAATTGCTTATCTCTGTTTCCTTTGGTTCCTTTCTGAGGTATTGTCTTGTTTTACTTGAGACATCGTCCTGTTTCCTTGTTAGGCCTGACTCACTGTGTGTTTCTATGTATTAGGTAGGTCAGCTATGCCTCACAGTTTTGATGGAGTAGGCTCATGTAGAATATGTCTTTTGGGCCTGAGAAGCACACTTCCCCCTGGTCATCAGAACCAGGTGCTCCAGGAGTGCCTTGCTGGCATGCTTGTGAGTGGGGCTGGCTCCTGGCCCATTGGCTTCAATGACTGGTCACAACTGCCGTGGACACACTGGTGAGCAGGGCTGACCCCTGACATGGCTGGCTGAGAGACCTGGCTGTGGCTGCTGTGCTGGTGGGTGGGACAGCCCCTGATATTATTGGTTGTGAGGTCATGCCAGGACTGTTGTAGGCATATTGATGGGTGGGCCTTGCCCCATGTCCCTGTCAGGAGCCACTCTGGAGGGGTGCTAGTCCAGGCCAAAGCTACTCCTTTGGTGTGCTGGGACAAAAGCTACTTTGGATAACAGCAGGCCTGGGCAAGGCCACCTGCTGGGTGTGTCAGGATGGGAGCTGTTTTGGGAGACACTGTTGAATGATCTTTTCAAAAGTATCAAACAGCTACCTACTTTAACATTCTTCAATGGAAATTCTATTGTTTATTCTTTAATCTGTGAACCTTTTAATTTTTAAGATATAAATTAACCTAATAAAATTGCATTTATTTATTTTAATATGTTTGGTAGGAGCTAAACTAAGAAACTTACAGTTTTAATTTTTTTCAAACATCCCTAATATAAAATATTTGATATGATAAATTACTTAAATTACCTGGTCTAAAATATACTTGGAAAACCAATTTTTGCATACAAGAACTTATTGTCTAAAAAGAAACTCAAATTGAAATGTTTGGCAAAACCATAAAGTTGATAATGGACAACTGATTGACAGATTTTAACTTATTCCTATGTGAATAAAGACAGTTGACATAATGTAAGGACAATAATCTGTGACTCTATTTAATGATTTAGAATATTCTTGGTTTCAGTTTCACATCTGTCTTATGTCTACTAGATAAAATAATCATTGTTATGCTAGACTTTTAATATGCTATATTTCAGTGACATTCTCTGGTCCTGGCATACCTGAATCTAGGGAAAAACAAGCACTATCTCCACGACTTGCCTATATTTTTCCATTTGGTTTTAAGTTTTAACGTTATTTCCGTATTTTTCCCTGTCAGGCCTTTAGAGAGGCTAGAAAATATTTGATAAAAATCTTATATATATTTTATACATAAGTATGCCTCTGTATGAGATGGTTTGATTTAACCAGAATAATTCTAAAATCTTTTCTATGTCTAAAACAAAATATAACTTTTAATTAATCATCTCCAAAGAGCCAGGTCAAAATATCAGAAGTAACTACATAATGTGATCCTTCTGCTTTAGGATTTAAAAAAAAATTTTAATGTTTATTTATTTTTAGGAGAGAGAGAGAAAGAGAGACAGAACACAGGTAGCAGAGGGACAGAGAGGGAGACACAGAATCCAAAGCAGGCTCCAGGCTCTGAGCTGTCAGCGCAGAGCCCAACGAGGAGCTTGTATCCACAAACTATGAGATCATGACCTGACTGAGGTTGGATGCTTAACCAGATGAACCACTCCGGTGCCCCTAGGATTTTTAAAATCTTATCTGATAACATGTAGAAAATGGAAAATTAAACTAATTACATTTATTTCTATGAACAAAACATTTTTATTCTACCTATTTAATTTACATATGCCTTTTAAGATTGTTTTCATAAAACATGAATATGGAACTGGTCATTCAGATAAACAAAGCTACAGCAGCTATTTCTCTTTTTTTTTTTTTTATAGATTTTTTTTTAATGTTTTTATTTATTTCTAGGAGATAGAGAGACAGCGTGAGCAGGGGAGGGCCAGAGAGAGAGGGAGTCACAGACTGAAGCAGGCTCCAGGCTCTGAGCTGGCAGTCAGCACAGAGCCCGACGCGGGGCTCGAACCCACGAACCGCGAGATCATGACCTAAGCGAAAGTCGGACGCTTAACCAAGCCACCCAGGCGCCCCTCTTTTTTTTTAATATATATTTTTTAATGTTTAGTTTTGAGAGACAGCGTGAGCAGGGGAGGGGTAGAAAGAGGGAGACACAGAATCTGAAGTAGGCTCTAGGCTCCGAGCTACAATGCCCAAAATGGGGCTTGAACCCATGAACTCGGAGATCATGACCTGAGCTGAAGTTGGATGCTCAGCTGGCTAAGCCACTCAAACATCCCTACAATAACTACTTTTCAAAACAGTGTTCACAGTTAGACTTCAGATACTTAATTAGGAGATTAATCTAAGACTTATCTAATAACTGATTAGATAAGTTCTAAAGTAATTTGGTAACTATATGTAAGTTACTATAAAAAGTATACAGGTCATATATTTTCATACTTAGAACTAAATCTGAATTTGATGATTTAAAAAAATTTTAACGTTTATTTGAGAGACAGAGAGAGACAGCATGAGCAGGGAGGGGCAGAGAGAGAGACACACACACACAGAATACAAATCAGGCTCCAGGTTCTGAGCTGTCAGCACAGAGCCTGAAACAGGGCTTGAACCCAGACTGCGAGATCATGACCTGAGCTGAGATTAGATGCTTAACCAACAGAGCCAGCCAGGCACCCCATGAATTTGATGATTGAAGAAATGTCTGCCCTACAATATCTAGAGTTTAGTTTTTTGATAATCTCTGCAAAAAGCTGTTAGAGTACATATAATGCAGAAAGTTAGACTTGGAAAGTCACCGTATTAAACTATATATTATGCTAAGGATCCTGACCTGGATATGAATAGATTTTACATTTAGATAATACAAATATAAACAGTACGTGCCTATAAAAACATGAATAAAACTCCTTGAAAAGCTGTGATTGGTGCCAAGGATCTATTATATTCATTGCATTTTATCTTGAAACATCAAAATAACTTTAGAAAAAGACCTACTGGTTCACCTCGAGGCCCAGGCGGTCCTAGCACTGTGCTATCTTCTCCTGGAAAACCCTATAATGAGCACAGTGATTACAAACAAAATCAGGTTAATAAAGTAAGCTTTGAAGAATGCAGCCTTTCGTTGTCTAACATGTTATGACATCTACAATCTGGCTTTATCTGTTTTAAATGGAAAACTTTTACCTACAAAACTTAGCATAGGATATTTTATATAGTTGTAATTCCTAAATGGTTCTCAGAAGTGCCCATCAGCTTTAATTACATACAAAGCAGTTTAGGAATTTGTTCAAAGTTTCAGGTGTCCAGTGACGTTGCAAATGAAGAGGAGTACTATTATGGTTATTCTTAATCCAGAACAATTTTACTATAAATCTTACTATAAATGTACTAGGCATTTAATCTGGAGTCTCACAATCTCTTTCAACAAGTAATTGATTTTACTTTTACAAAGTTTTACAGATTGCAAAGTACTTTATCATATGTTATTTCATGAATATCTTGACACAACCTATTGAAGACATTTTAATGACTTAAATTTTCATCCCTCGTTATTTGTTTATCTTCTAGAATTTGCAGTATTTCCCACATTGAAAAGTGTTTCTTTTATTCTTTGCAAGTGTTTCCATGCACACTTTCAGAAAGAACACAAACATTAAATATTTAACTTTAGGATTGCAAAGTCAATGCACACACATACCTTTTCTCCTTTAGGTCCTGGCAACCCAGAAAGGCCTGGCTGGCCCTGGTGGCCCTAACAAAAGGACAAGTAAGTAGGCATTCTCCGTATCATTTGTACATGTTCTATCGACCACCAAGGCCAGGCCGTTAGATACCGCACTATTCTGAGAGAAAAACAAGATTCATTCTCTATGGGGAAGAAGCCTAAATGAGTTAGCAAGTTTTATCAGTAAGATTTCATCTTAATTTGCATAACTGGAATGACATCTCTAGATAACCATTTTCATGCAAATATACATATTTTAATTTCCAATTATAAATGCTTACCCTATATCCTGGAATTCCTGGTTCTCCATCAGGTCCCATCAATCCTAAATGTCCCTAAAAAACAAAGTAAATATTAGAGAGAAAATGGGCAACTGCTTGAACCATTAAACTTGTACTCTTATTATTTAAAATTTAGGGTTTCTGAGGTATAATATTTTACTTAGTCTGAAATGGAAAAACAAGAAAGAACATTCTAACTTTTGTCTTATTTTTCTTTTGAACCACAAAATTCCCACCAAAAAAATGTCTCTTCAGTTTACTTCTGGTATGAATATTCTTAATCATATTAAGAAAAATACTTTGAGTAGTCAGAATCCTATAGTTTTTTAGCAAGTTTTTGGAAATGTAATTGGTATCTGCCAAAGTTTACAGTGTTTGTGTGTGTGTGTGTGTGTGTGTGTGTGTGTATAATGTTTATTTATTTTTGAGAGAAAACAGGGGAGGGGCAGAGAGAGACACACACACACAGAATCTGAAGCAAGTTCCAGGCGCTGAGCTGTCAGCACAGAACCTGATGCTGAGCTTGAACTCATGAACCATGAGTTCATCTGAGAACCTCAGCTGAAGTCAATGCCTAACTGACTGAGCCACCCAGGTGCCCCTGTAACTGTCAAAGTTTATGGTAGATGTGCATCTCTGAATATCAGAGTACAGCCTGAAAGTTTTTTATATTGTCAGGATGGATCATGGAGAATTCCATACTCATTGATAGTTTCAGATGTTTTGATGAACAAAATCTTCAGCTCTGGTCAAAGTTGTTAAAATAGAAATAGTTGACAACTTATGTGTGATAATCACCCTGTGATTGCTCTTAGTATCAATATTTTTCATCTGAGGATACCATGTAATTTAAGGGTTAATCAGTAAATGCCTCTGAAGTACTGAAAATGTGACTAAGACAATTTAAAAGAGCAAAAATAATAATCCTAAAAATGTCTTATCTTTCACACTATCAAAAGTTTCCACATTAACTCTCCTATTTGAGTTTGAAACTAAATAGGAGATGAGAAAACTAAGGCACAGAATAGGCTCATGCGTAACCAAACATCAGAGTAACCAGAAGTTCTAAATATGATTATTTACCCAAAGAACTCATGCGAACCATCTATCATTAAAGTGGATATAAAGTTAAAATATAAACATAAGTGGATTTCTTATACAGCATGAATAAAAAGAAATAAAGGAAAAAATTGCATTATAAGTCATAAAATCCATAAGAAACAAACAATAAACTTGACAGGACAGAGTTAAGAACAGAGTAAAGGAAATAAAACTTTATTAAAGGACATGTGAGATGATATAAGTAAACAGAAAGACATATACTGCTCCTCTACTGAAAGATTCAATATTAAAGGAACTTGAAGAGCTGAACTTAAAATTCACATGGAAGAGAGAATTACAGAAAGAGCTGAACTTTTCAGAAAAAATGAATTATGGAGCACTTGCTCTCTCAAAAGTACTGAAATAGTATAATAATTAAATAGTGTGGTACTGGACCCAGAAATAGGCTAACAGATTCACAGAAGAAAACAGAGAGAATGAAAACAGGTCAATAAATATTTGAGAGTTTAGTGTAGTGGGACATAGATTGACTATTTATTAAATGATTTTGAAACAACTGAAAAAAGAAAATACATTCTTTACAACTTATTTCACAGCAAAGTAATAAACTTTGTGTGAGTTAGGAATGAACACAAAGCTATAAAAGAATTAGAAGAAGGATACAAAAGAGTATTTTTTATACTTTAGGTAGGGAAGGCATTTCTAATGAAATAAAACCTGTCAAGTAAAACACTGACAAATTTGAGTATATAATAATTAAAACCTCTTGTCCAGCAAAAGATATTAAACAAACAATATTAAGAGTAAAATGACATAAAGGGAAATGTATTTATAATACATTTTGTGACAAATTTAACAAAAATATGTTATCTAAAATATGTAAGGAGTTATTACAGTTTAATAAGAAAAATACAACTAAACCTACTGTAAATCATGTAAAGTGCATATTAAAAGGCAATTTCCAGAAAAAAATAAAAATTACTTCATTGGAATCAGGGAGATGTAAATAGAAAACGAGACACACTTTCTCATTTATCAGATTGTCAGACATCAAAAGGGTTAATATGAAGGATGGGTGGTGGGAGTGTGTTTGATGAAAGCTTTTGGGAAGGTAGTTTGAGAACATGCATCAATATTTTAAAGGTGAATATTCTTTTTAGACAAAAGCCAAAGTGGGAACCTACTTTGAAGGCAATATTCTGGATGAGTTTCCATGTTTGTTAAAAATTAATCACATTAAATGAAGTTTTTTAACATATAAGGCAAAAGCAGAAAAACATTAATAATTTAAATAAAAGGAAGAAAGACCTGAAGTGGTAAGATGACATGTCAAATGACCCTGCAATAAGCTTTCCTCAGACAACAGACGGATTATGCAATGCTCTCAAGAAGGCCTTGGTGAAAAGTCTAGAATTCGGGACATTTAATAGAGACTAGGAAATGCACAAGCATTTTTGTAGATGAGTTTATGAAAACAGTGAAAACACTAAGTTGAATAAATATTCTGCATCTCTCATGCTATGACTTTCTGAACAGGTCCAAATACATTAGCAATAAAATTTTGCTAGTATAGGTTCAGGAGTATTATGCTACCCTTGTTTCCAACATCAAAAATGTTTATGCAAAAGATTAAATATTATTAGATGTTACAGATATTGATCACAGCCGGTTAAAAAAAAAGTCTCCAGACAAGCATGTAGAGTCCAAGCTTATAAAGAAAAATCATATTTAAGTAAATTTAATTTTCAAAAGCAATGTGCCAATCCTGACAGCATAGTTTTATACAGATGTTAAATTCTGATTTTAAGTGCAAGGCATGTAAACTTTCCTACTTAGCTTAAGAGTTATAATCTGATTTTTTTAAAACTTCATTTCATATTTTATTTCCATTTTGAGTGTTTTCCCCTTTCCCTTTTTCATGTCCAGAAACCACTAAGCCATTTAAGTACTGTGGAATGCTTACAATTCTCCATAGCTCATGGAGGTAGATTATTTTCAATGGAACTATTGCTTTCTCTGTAAAATTAATCAAGGGATGAAACTTTAAAGACATGGATACATTTCTTTTCCATCCGCAGTGAACTCAGGGCTGGAAAGAAATCACATACTAACCACAGCACCTCTTGTTCCTCTGGCACCCTTAGGACCACTTTCCCCAGTTTGTCCAGGAGTACCTCTGCTTCCCATTTCTCCGGTGGGACCTATTTGTCCTTTATCACCCTGTGGATGTCATTAGTAAGAGAGAAAAGGGAGAAAAAACAAATTTTTATCTAGCCGAATTAACTATATCATATACTCGAATGACACCGGAGATTAATCTGTAAGCAAAATTCCGTAAATACTAACTTTGGTTTATCTTGACACTAGTAGACACTGCCACGGACAATAATAACATATCATCACCACCTAGGTTATTGTAAAGATATAACTAAAAGTAATTTAGGAGAAATAACATTAAAAAAAGCAGGGGAGATCTGGTGCTCATATTGAATTACAAATAACCAAGTTTTTTACTTTGAAATTTGTTATGTCTGTCTGTATGCATGCATGCATGCATTTCTTGTTATCATGAGAAAACACAGACTCTATGAGAAACCTGCTTCTATACACAGTTTCAATGCCACAAAGACCTATTTAATGCATACAGGTTCCAGTGTACGGTTCTGTATATTTAGAATCATCACTCACTGGTTTGGAGTCTGCCTTTAAAAATCCATAACATTTTTATATCATTTAACATCCTTCTGAAAACTAGTTACCTTCTGTTTTCCATCAAGCTGACCAATCACTCTCTACCATCAAAATACAGCTGCTTTTAAACAACTTTAAGTGCTATAATTCATTTTCTGGAAGTGGGAATCAATCTGTTCTATTGTAGATAATAAAGTAGATACAAAGAAAAACTAGACTGTGATCACAGTCAAGAAGGAAGTGTTTGATATTCATAATTCCCACAGATGCAGGCTATTGTAAGGACTTATACTGTCTCACTTCTAATATTGATTTTAGATACCACATCAGCTATGATGAACAGACACTTCAGTATTGGGGTTATTTTCATGGGCAAGAATGGCTACTTCTTCTAAAATTCACCTCATTCATTTTTCTTTACCTCTTACTCTAACTAATACTGAGTCTACATTATGACAAAGATGGCCTGGGTGTGTATTAATAGAAATGATAAAATTAGACTTTGGGAACTAGATAGGTGTGATTTGAAGCTAATTATAGTAATATATTCAGAACAGTTGTATTCAAACAACATGAACAAATTATACTTGAAAATCCATACTTGAACAAATTATTGGCCCCATACAGAGATGAATTTTTCATTATAATTTTCTAGAACTTTACATATGTCATTCTAGTAAAATATAAAGGAGGCATATAAACCATATTCTTGATTTGAGTTTCTAAGTCAATATATGGGAAATGTAAAATCAATAATTAACCTTTTCAATTTAGATAAACATAGTATTAATAAGCCGAGAAACAATCCTAATGATAATCCTTTCCCTTAACCATTTTACCAAAGTTGTTACTAATAGCACAAGTGGTATAGCATTTTCCTTTCCTCTCTTTTCCTACCCATAGTTTACTGAAGAATTTTTGGCAAACAAGGAAAGGCAAATATCTTCACAGAAACTACAGAGTGAGACATTTGTCTTCAAATAAATAATTAAGGTGATAAATACTCCTAGGTAGAGTTAAATATTAATTTATATAAATGTGCCTTTTAAAACCAAATTTACAGTTCCTTATTACCATATGTCTAATGCAAATAAAAATATCACAGCATTCTATGAGCTTGAGGCACATCAGAAGAAAGAAAGCCATAAAAAGATATAAAAAAAAAATTACCTTTTTCCCTGGGCGACCTCTTTGCCCTGGAATTCCCACAATTCCTTCAGGTCCCTGAATATCGAATATAAAAAAGAAAATAAATTGTTAAAGAAAGGACTAGATGGAATATTTAAATACTTACATCACATAATCACTAAATTGAACACTATGTAAAAATGAGGGTTACTTTTCAACATACTGTGTTTGTATAATTATCTAAAAATAGGTCATGATGATTTAGTGGCCTAGCTGTTAATAGTGAGTTAAGTTTACATATACAAACTGGCAAGCTAGATAAAGTTATAGTGCTCTTTGTTATAGGAAGAAAATTATTTGGTTTCAGTATAACCATTTTAATTAGTGAGACTGTAATCACACTAAACCCAATGCATCCATTTTAGCAGTTCCATGAGCTATCACTGTGGGTTCAATATCTTGAAGGATTATAATATATGATTTATATTGGATTTATATATGATTATGTACATAATATATATAACATGTATATATGTTATATATATAGAATCTCAAGTTATATATATAGAATCTCAAAATTGTTTTGGGGTAGTAGATTAAGGAGGGTTTCTTTGGTCTGTGGAAGAAACGAGAGAGGGAAATAGGTGGAGAAAAAAGAGGTAGTCCTATTCAACTTTAAAACAGTATTTTCATTTCAGTCTGCATTTTATTTATACAAGGTAGACTTAAAGTTTCCAATACACACTTTTTTTAGTAAAAATTGGCTAAAATATTTTAGATGTCATGTGAACTTGCAGATCAACAATAATTAGGCTTAAATGAGATTCACGGTAAGCCAGGATACAAGTTCTGAAATGGCCAACAGTTAATCACAGCACTCCTTGCATTCGTTTGGAAATGAAAATGGAAATCTCAAATTTGTGTCCCAAAGCTTGGCAAACTGCAAAAATGATGTAGACAAGAAATAAATTGTGGTTTACCACTGTGCTATGGCGGCTCTTGATAAATATTTGTTGAACGAATAAACAGATACCTAAGGAAGTGACTCATGCGGTATGGCCCTCAGCAAATGCTCTTGTAGCCTCAGAAAGTCACTGAATTTAGAAGCCAAAATGGTTAAGTTCTTTTGCTGTAGTTCTAGCTGCATCCAGAGGTCGAAATGATAGTTGCACTAACCTGAGATTTCTTTGTGGTTAATACGGACTTTTATAAAGAGGCAGATTAACTTTCATTATAGGTGACTGGTGTGAGCTTTTAAAAGTCAGACTTCTAGTTTCATTCACCTCACAGCAATATGACCTTAGGTAGATTGTTTAACTTCTAAAGGCCTCAGTTTCCTGTTATATAAAAGAAGTATTAACAATACTTCTTCAAAGGGTTATTAAGATTAAATGAGATAATGCATATAAAGCTAAAAAGAACTGGACTTACACTGAAGAATTTAGCTCAATGTTAGTTCTCACTAATGTCTGCTGCCTTTTTCAGGTATATTATGTAACATTTAAATATATATAAAAAGATCTTAGAAGGTGCAATAAATACCCATGCACCCACCATCCACTTTAAGAAAGAGAAGTAACATACATATGTAATTGAAATCCCATATGCACACATACCTTTCCAAACACATTACCCTCTGCCCTCACTCAGGTGCAACCAAGGCCCTCAATGTATCATTCCCAAGCGTTTCTTTATACTGTTACTCTATTTGGATGTATCTCCAAGCAATATATTGTAATGTGCATTTTTCAAACTTCAAATAAGCATACTTCATGTACTCATTGGAAACATTTTTAACACACATTTTGTTTTCGAAATTAATCAGTGTCTTTAATCCATTCACTTTCTCTTTTTAATCCTATGGGATTCTATTTTCTTATCAAACCACGACTAATTTAACCACTGTCTTACTGATGAATTTTTGGTGTGTGTGTGTGTGTTTGTGTGTGTGTGTGTGTTTTCTGATACAGGTAATGCTTGTGCATTCCTCTACGTGCCACGTCAAAAGTTGTTTTTTTGTTTTTATTTTTTGCGTTTGTTTTTTTATTGGATAGTCCCTGAAGTTAAATTGCTGGGTTGTAGAAAATATACACGGATAAGTATACAAGATATTGTGAAATTATTCTCCAAAGTAGTTTTGTCAATTTCCATTCCCACAGCAATGTTTCAGAATCCAACTACTTCAAATCTTCGTAAAGCTTGGTACTCTCAGACTTACAATATGTCCATTTCCTTGCGGTAAATGATATATTACTTGTGCTTCCAATTTGCATATTTCTGATTATTAAGGAGGAATGATTATCTATTCATATAGTTATTTCACATCTCTATGTGAATTTCTGGCTCTTATCTTCTGCTCAGTATTCTCCTGAGCTGTCCTTACTGAGTTATACATAAAAGTTTTTATATATATTCCTGATACTTATATTTTGGTCATTCTATATAACACATATCTCTTCTTTCAGCCTGCAGCATATTTTTTCATTTTGTTTAATGTTACTTCTGATTAACATGTTTGTGATTTTAACATAGTCATATCCATCAGTATTTTCTTCTTGTCTTATTTTCTTTTAGTGTTTAGGAGATCCTGACTGCTTCCCCTCCCTCCATGAGGTCATAAAATGTTCTCATAACTGTTCTCATGTTTAACATTTTGATTTTCACAATTAGGCCTTTAATTGGAGTTTCATTCTTTTGTGTGTATGTATGTGCACTGATGTGAAGGAGTTGTTTTATTTTATTTTGTTTTCCATTTGGATAGCCAATTGTGCCAGTACCATTTATTGAATATTTCATCCTTTCCTTAATGATCTACAATCTGTATTCAATTTATCAAACTTCAAGTTTCAAAATATACTAAGCTCTTTGAAACGTCAAGTTTCAAAATAAACTAAGTCAAGGTTACCTTCTATTTCCATTGGTCTCTTTGTCTTCTGTGAATGAGCATGACACTGATTAAATTACTCTAACTTCCAGTCATAAGTTAGGATATCAGGTAGGGCAAGTTCTACCTTCTACACACCACTCTGCCCCCACCCCTCATAACTTGTTCTTGAAAACTGTCTTAATATTGGTGCTTTGTTCTTCAACATAAATTTTAAAACTCTTTTTCATCAATCACCTATAAAAATTCTTACAGGGATTTTGACTAAAATTGTACTGAATTTATGGACTAATCTAGGGGAGAATTGGTAATTTTTAAATATTGAGTCTTGTTATCCGTGAATATAAACTATCTTTCCATTTATTTGGGTCTTTGTTAATAAACATAATTTTTTCAAAAAAAATTTGCAAACCTTTTATTAGATTTATTCCTAGTAGTTTAATTTTGTTGCTGATTCTACTATAAATAGTATTTTTTAAAAGTTTATTTATTTATTGAAAGTGAGGGAGAGAGCAAGCAGGGGAGGGGCAGAGAGAGAAGAGGAGAATCCCAAACAGGTTCCGTGCTGTCAGTGCAGAGTCGGACACAGAGCTCAGTCCCATAAACTGTCACATCATGACCTGAGTTGAAATCAAGAGTCGGATGCTCAACTGACTGAGCCACCCAGGCACCCCAGTAAACAGTATTATTTAAGATTTTCTAAACTGCTTATTGCTGGTGAAGAAGAATGGAACCTATTTTTGTATACTTGTATATTTAGCATCTTGCTAAAATCTCATTAATTCTAATAATTTGTCTGTAGATTAGTTCTCTTGTACTGTACTGGCTGGGTTTCTGAGTAAATATTGAATAGAAATGGTCAATAGTGGTGATTTTTGCTCATTCTTTCAAGTTCCACCATTAAGTATGATAGTCAATGTGGATATTATATTTTACTAAATGCTTTTTGTTTCATTTATTGAGATTATATTTTTTCTTTCATTTGTAAATATGTGACTTCAATGTATAACTTTTTAAAAGTGTTAGGCCTTTGCTGCAAAACTTTTATAAGAGTGGATTCATCAGCACTTCACAAGAGCAATGAATTCAACTATTCAGGTGTCAGCCAACACTACCACATGGCAATGCTATCTGCCGACCAACAATGCAGTTTAGGCATCAGTGTGTTTATATATTAAAATACTAATAAAATTTGTTGAGAATATAAAAATAAAAGTGACAGCCATCTCACAAATGTGTATAATTGAGAAATTTGTTATTAGTCTGCAAGATGACTTGCACATTCTTCAAACTTTGACTCTCGTCTCAGTGTCAAGTTAATAACCTTGCCTTACACTGCACTGAGATACAGTAGCAATTAAACAAGAGCCATCTCTTTCCCACACCCTACATACCGCCTTATGTACACCCATATTCTGCCTCCCTTCTCTTACAAAGGAAGAAGTTTCCCTGTTTCTTGTCTGAAGCCAGCTCCTCCCTGTGTCTAAAGCCCAGGTCCTCTTCATGGCCTTCTCTGAACACTTGAACTATCAGTTTTTTTCCCTTGACTGAATCATTTCTAATAGCAATTAAATAAGCTAGATAGCACTCATTAAAAAAATAAAAACAAAACCCTTTGTTGACCTCATGCCCCTCCCTCCCTTCCTTTCTAATCACTCATTCAATTTCTCATCTACTTTTCTAGTTCAATCTTTGCTTCCCCATCACAGCACAGCTTTTTGAAAGACTTATTCATGCTCACTGTCACTATTTCCTTACTTCTCATCCTCTCTTCATTTGGGCTTTTGTTCTTACCACAGCCCTGAAATTGCCTCCTTTTCAGGTCACCAAGTAACCTTCATATAGACAAATCCAATAATCCAATGGCTCATTTTATCTCAAACTTTTTTCATTCTTGAAAAATTTTAAGCTTTTGTTTATGTGGAAGCATGCTTCCCAAATTTTCTACTTCCTTATATAACATCTTCTTATATTCTCGTGATTCCTAAAATTATGTTGCCTGTCCTGACGGTACCACTGACCTTCCAGTTATTGCAGCTACTGACATCTTTTTGAATTTCTAATAGGCATTTCAAACTTTATGTGCCCCAAACTGAACCCTTGAATTACCCCCTCAAACCTCTAAAACTTGTCTCTCCTTGCCTTCTCCATCTCTGCTATAATGCAGCAGTATTTTGAAAATTATCAAAATTGCTTTTTAATTTTGCCTTTT